GATGTACAGTTACCTGAATGGGAGGATATAGCCCATAAGGCCAGACAGGTACCGATTCCGATAGTAGTTCAGTTTCAGCGCAGTTTCAGCTTAAACTTCGGTTCAGTTCCAAATTAGTTGCTAGTTCAGACTCTTGTTTAGCTTTCAGCTTATATTCAGATTTCCAGCTTACAGTCATACTTTAGTATGCTTTACATATGCTTTCTACCCTACATACTTTGTACATATCGTACTCATGTCCCTTCCGGACGTTGCGTTTCATGCCGCGCGGGTACAGGTAGATCATCGCTTGAGCCACAACAGTAGGCCATCCACCAGTTGTTGGAGTCACCCCGTTTACTCCCCGAGTTACTTATATTTTGGTATGTATACAATCGGCTAAGTTTGGGGATGGCGGGACCATGTCCCGTCCAGTACTTGTTCAGTTCAGCACTCTTAGAGGCCTGTAGATATGCACTTGTGCAGTTAGTACATTTTCATATGTCAGCTTGTGTTAGCCTTGTCGACTTTCCAGATTGTACACTTCTTATCAGCTATTCTTATGCTTGTTCGGTTTATCAATTTATATTCATGATTGCTAGATTATCAGCATGTTTAGCGATGATCGGCACTTAATTAGTATCGGTTATCTGTCGCGGCCCTAGGCTGGGTCGTGATACACATGCCTAGATTCCGAAAATTTTCGATTACCCATGGCCTTACGAACTTAAATATATAACTTATACCCAATTTCATAATCAATTTCTTGGTTAAATCTCATTTTTACTAAATTCTAGGTTTTTCAATAAAATTCCAAAATTCTCCTAATTTCCATGTTAAAATCAACACATAATCCATGTATTTAACTCAGAATAAGTAGAAAATCACTCACCCTATGATACTTGATGAAAATGTCCCTTCGAAAAGCTCCCAAATCGCCCAACACAAGAGAAAATGGGGTGAAATGAGCCTAAATCTCGTATAAAAATCACATTCCGCCTAGGCGTCCTTCATCAAGATCATGGAAAAAGCCTCGTGATCACGAATGCTAGCTGCTATAACGACCCGATCGCTCATTTTGTGTATTTGATCCTCGTTTTTCCTTTTAAAGCTTCCTATAAGTGCATTTGTGATTTTATGACTTGCGGGAATGGTTAGATTCGTTTCGGAAAAGTTTTGGAATGATTTGGATCCCTTAGTTCTTGGTTTAGAACCTTAAGTTGGAAACATTGACCGAGGTTTGACTTTTTTTGAAAACGACCCCGAAACGGTATTTTGATGGCTTCGATAGGTTCGTATTGTGATTTTGGACTTGGTCATATACCCGAAATTGAATTCGGAGGTGCCTAGGTTGATTTAACTTGTTTTGCTTGGAATTTGAATGTTTAGAAATTCATTAGGTTTGACCGTAGGTTGACTTTATGGTTATCGAGTTCGGATTTTGGTTTCGGGACTTGGAATAGGTCCATTTTGTTATTTGGAACTTGTCTGCAAAATTTGATGTCATTCCGAGTTGGTTTGATAGGAATCGGGTGATTGGTTGTGATTCTAGTTATTCTTGAGTTTTCTTTTGAATTTCATGCGTTTTGATGTCCGATTAGTGGTTCCTGATGTTATTTCGGTGTTTTGATCGCGCGAGCAAGTTCGTATGATATTTTTAGACTTATGTGGATGTTTGGTGTGGAGCCCCGAGGGCTTGGGTGAGTTTCTGACGTGTTTCAGATTGGTTTGAACTTATTCCAAGTTGCTGGTATGCTGGTGCTTCAGTTGTCGCAATTGCGAGCACCAGCATCACAATTGCGAAGTTGGTAGGGAGTCTCAGGTATCGCACTTGCGACAACTTGATCGTAATTGCAAAGGGAGGCATTTGGCTGGGTAGTTCGCATTTGCGATCATTTGGCTGCATTTGCAAAAGGGACTGACTTTGCAAATTCGAAGTCAGCGCCACATTTGCGACATTTCCCTGGGTTGTCAGGCGCCGCATTTGCGAGGGTTCGCAATTGCGAACCCAGGGTCGCATTTGCGACTTCTGCACCTGAACAGAAGGGCTGGAAAATGAGACTTAGCTTTAATTTATCATATTTTTGAACCCTAGACTCGGGAGGAGGCGATTTTGAGGAGGAATTTTCACATACATCTATTGAGTAAGTGATTTTGATCAAATTTCAATTATATTACATGTTATTTGTTATATTTAACCTCTAATCCATGGAATTTGAAGAGAGTTTTTCGGGGAATTTTGTCTATATTTTGAATAATAAAAATTTGAGATTTGAAAGTCGAATTGGACTCAGATTTAAAAACAAAACACATATATGGATTCGTAGGGTTATGGTAGTCGAGATCTACTCTTGAACTCGGATTTTGACTGCACAAGTTCGGGGTTGACTTTTGTTGACTTTTGGAAAATTATGTAAAGATTTTAGCTTTATTAATCGAAATTGGCTTCTCTTGTATTGTTTGATGATACTAGGTCATTTTTGGTTAGATTTGAGCCGTGCGAAAGTGAATTTTTAGGGAAAAGTCATTTTTGAGTGTTGATTTGGCCTAATTGAGTTAAGTATCTTGCCTGACTTTGTGTGAGGGAACTATCCCGTAGGATTGAGCTTATTGCACTATTTAAATTATGTGGAAGACGTGTACATGAGGTGACGAGTGTGTATAGGGACTTATATAGGGATATTGGCCGGTTTAGACTCTTAGGTTACTTATAAGCATTTAATTGTAGTTGTTATTACATGTTATCTCTTTCATTGTTGAGTTTACTCTTATACATTTACTTGCAGTTGTTATTACATGTTACCTCTTTCATTATTGAGTTATTCTTATTCATTTAGTCGTAGTTGTTATTACATACAATATCTTTCATTGTAGAGCTCATTCTTGTGCATTTACTTTCATTGTAGAGCTCATTCTTATGCATTTACTTGAAATTGTAGTTATTGAGAGCTATTAACATGTTTTTAATCAAAGTTGTTATTTTTATGGAATACCTTTCATTGTTGAGTTATTTTCCATTTCCTTTTGTTGTTATTGAGATTCTTGTACATATTATGGTTGAGTCGTGGGCTATATGTTGTGGTGACATTGGTATTGTTGTGGAAATATTGTGGTATATGGGGGCGCGTGGTGCGAGTTGATTATTGTGTTGTGATGTGATGTGCATGCGACGGTAAAATGATGGTGATATTGATGTGCATGCGGCGAGGTAAGGGGAATTTATGTGCGTGTTGCTAGTAAGGAAAATTACTTCATTTGAAGCACACATGGTGAGATAAGGGGGCTAAAGCGCGTGAAGCTCTTTCGAAAAAACTATTTTAAAATAAATACAAGGCTCATGCGGCGATATAAGGAAGATTGTGATTGTGACTTATGAAATGTGAATATAAGGTGTGGTACCTCGGGGTGATTCTTGTTGTACATTCTATGTTAGAACGGCTTGTTGATTTGAACGATTATTGTTTTCCCTTAATTCAAATCACTTGTATTTTGACTGTATTTGATCATTTGTTGTTTTTATCATATGTTCACTCTTTGTTGTCATTTGTTGCTTTTACTTCCATTCTTAGCCTATTATTAACATTTTGCTTTGTTGCCATTTATTGTTTTTACTTCCCGTTGTTAAATTATATTAATATTCTGCACAAGCTTCTATGTCTAGTAAGTGTCTCAACATGACCTCGTCACTACTCCACCGAGGTTAGTCTTGATACTTATTGGGTACCGTTGTGGTATACCCATGCTACGCTTCTGCACATTTTTGTGCAGATCCAAGTACCTCTGCGCATGCCGGACGCTAGTGAGTTGATTCAGACTTCGCGGAGACCTCAAGGTATACATGCTTGATGCTCGCAAGCCTCAGAGTCACCTTCTAGTAATCATAGTCTACTGTTTCTTTTGTTTCCAAACAGTAATGTAATAGAGATTCCTAGTGTACTTCGGTAGAGCTTATGACTCTGTACCACCGATTTTAGGATTGTATGACTATGGTCCTGCTTTGGTTTTGTTATGTTATTTATCAGTTTAAATTAATAGCTTAGTTGTTGTTTCTACTAAATTCTCAATGTGTGTTAGGCTTACCTAGTCTTAAAGACTAGGTGCCATCACGATTCCTAAGGTGGGATCTTGGGGTTGTGACACTGCCCTTGCCCAGAAATCTTTCATCGCTTTCGCGATGACCAAGTCGTGTTCGCGATGCAAAAAGCCCCCAACACTCCGCCTTCGCGGTCAACCCAACCACGTTTGCGAAGGCCTAAGCCTTCCGGCCCCTCCTACCTCTTCCTCTACGCGTTCGGGAAGGCAGCTTCGCGTTCGCAAAGAGGAGCCAGGTCCTCAATCTTGTCGCGGTCCCTCCACGAAACTCACCAGAGCCACTCGATACCCTGTCCAATTATATCAACAAGTCCATAAACATAATCCGAACCTACTCAAAGTCTCGGAACACATAAAATAACATTGAAACCAAGAATCACACCTCAAAACCAAATTAATCTAACTTCTAAACTTCAAACTTCTTCTAACTAACTCCGAACGCGACGAATCATACTTAGACAACTCGGAATGACACCAAATTTCACACACAGGTCCAACATGACGATACAAACCTATTCCTAAGCTCGGAATGCCAAATGGGATCCAATAACACCAAAGTCTACTTCAAGTCAAACTTAGAAAACTCTAAAACCTTCAAAATGCCAACTTCCGACAAGAAGTGCCGAAACACTCCCGGTCCACTCGAAACTCGATCCGAACATACACCAAAGTCCAAAATTACTATACGAACCTATTGGAACCTTCAAATCCTAATTCTGAGGTCATTTACTTAGAGTGTTGGCTCAAGTCAAACTTGGCCACCTTAGACCACTATTACGGAATAAAGTGTTCCTAATTCAACCCGAACCCTTCCAAAACCAAACCAAACGCCTCTGAAAGTAATAAAACAGGAAAAGCACACACGAGAAGTCTTAAATAGAGGAACAGGGATCTAGAAAGCAAACAACTAGCTGGGTCGTTACAACTACAGATGTTAACTTTCATCATCTTTGTTCATTTATGAACCATCGCTAAACGAACCATCACAGAACAATGGTAATGCAAGAAAAATTAGTACATAATGCTTGTGATCAATCAAAGATTAGATCAACAAATTATTCTATGTATTGTCCTCAAATTACAGTGAGCAGGATTCATTGTAAATGACGTGCTCCTGTATAATGCAGGACATGGATCCTCTTTATAACTTGTGTTACCTCTTTATCATAATGAGAGCTGGTTTTGAGACATGATCTGGTAGTTCTAGGAATATCTTCTTGGTTATAAGAGGGTACATTACAATTTCTTCCTCTGCTTTATTTGACTTGTCTCAAAATCTGCTAAATTGCTCAAGTTACAGATGTCGATAGATAAATAAAACCACAGCATCAGTGCTCAGCAGAAACAATCTCTAAGATCAAGCTTACCCAATCCTGGAAAAAGGAGGAGGGTTTATTGTCTATTAGAAATCAGACGTTCACATTCGTGTTTTCATTTCTCGATATCCTAATCATGGTGAATTTGTTCATATCTTCTACTATAATAAACCTGTAGACACTAATTTTTTTTTTATAGTTAGATGGATAGAAAGAGATAAAGTGTTGTTCTGTCTATGGGATCTCCTTAAAGGCGGGTACCGTGCAGTTGAGGAAAATGAAGTCGAGTCTCTGGTTGGACTATATTTGGAGGTAAGATCAAGCTTGCTCTTTCATAGAAGGCATGTTTTGGTGCGCTTTGCATGGCTATAGTCCTATACTTAGGGATATGGGCAAACATATTCCTAGTCACCTCCAGCAAGGTGAAAAAGTTTTCATGGATCTGTAGCAGATAACTCCCTGAAATGCAATAACTCCCTGAAATGCAACACTTGCTAAAGGAGAAGAAGGATTAAAACCTGAAACGACAACAATAAATTGATTGATGACAGTTTCTGGGTGCTTAAAAAGAAAGTCAACATAGAGATACTGTATTATTTTTCTACATTACATATACATTAGACACCAGGCATCATGAGCAAGCATAAAAGTTACATTCTAAAAAAATTCAGGAAAGGATATATATACACCCACACACATCAAATAGCACAGGGACACAAGGTATCAGATGTACAAAATCAATCGAATGATGTGAGTGCTTGTGTGCCCTACAGCTCAAGAGAATAGAATAAAATGTAAGTATTATTATCCAGTAAAGCTAGCTGATAATTGGTATGATGATCACGAAAGTAGGAAAATCTCATGAGAGCAATGAGCAAAAGGTAATGGATCCATAAACTTCTACATATGAAGGCTATTCAATAGAGCAATCCTCCAAAGTAACAAATTAGAAAACAGGAGAAGGGTACTGACCAAATAGAATGTCAGAAGTATGCTTGTTTTCAGGAAATAGGAAACAACAGCTCATTTGGTGCAAAGCATATTTGAGATTAACCTCAAAGGTGCATATCACTCTCACGGAGAGTAGAAGGACGACTAAATATCCACGATATTATCAGTTTCTGGAACTTGACAAAGTAAATTTTTAGCAGGACTACCTGTGTAAATCAGGGGAAATAGGATACATAAGGACATGAGTAATACATTATGTACAACACCCATTCTTAGAAGTAGAAGAACGTAAAGGGAAGTACCTCGAGGTAACTAAAACAGCTGAAAAAATCATAGTTTTTTTTTGACAGATGCCAAAAACTTCATCATTGAGATTGTCTCTTTCCGTACCATTTTCGTGCTTAGGTAGTTTTGCTCAGTCTTCATTCAAAGAAATGAGACTCTGCATAGCATCATTTCATCAATTATCAAGATAGGATGGAAATTTTAAATTTGCACAGTATATGAAATCTGCAGCTTTGCAACAAATACAGAAAATGGACAACTCTTTTTCTTTTAATCTCACTTCTTTTTATAAAAATGTAATGCATATCTATTTTAACAAGTTCAAATTTGATATGTTTTGAGCTTATTAACAGGCAGAAGGTTTATAAACAATAAAATCCATACAAACTCCAACTACCAACATGAAAATTAAAATTTTAAGTAGTGGCCCTTCTTGAGAACACTTTCGTGGGACCCACTTCTACCCCTAGGACAAAAAGCGATATAGATAAAGCAGCCAACTTCACCTCACTGGCTCATTGGTGAACTTAATCTACTTTGTATAAACCAGGCTACTCCTAAGAAGAGTCTCTTGAGTCAACCACTACCCAACAAGCATTAAAAAATTAAAGATATTCAGGAGACTTAGAATCAAGAGCTAATTTCCTGATAACTCAAACAGATAGTGGTAAATAGATTACACGTCACTGACACCTACCATCAGACGGACCAATTGTCTTCTGCTATGGCAATTACGTCATGCAATTTCCGAGTTCAAGGCAAGAATTTCCTTAAAATTCGCACAAAAAAATGTTTTCCATCAGCAAGCAATTCCCCAGTGAGACATCATGAAAGAATTTATAGCATGCGAAGAAGACAGGGAACGAAGCAGGGGAAAGATAGCTCGCTGGTGGAGTAGGCTAGCGACTCATTGGGGCTTGCGGGAGATGCAGTATGCCTGGCAGAACTGAAGTGGGAAATGTAGGACCAAACCTACCTTTTACCCTTAGACCTGCAGTCATGGATTAGAAAAGTTTCAAAGTTTCATTTCCATTGTTAATCTAAAGTTTTTTAAGACATAGTACCTTTCTTCCACAGAGAGCAATCTCCTGGTTTATAGGTAAGCTTGAACTTTGTGACCAATCACATCAAGACATCCAGCATTAAAGAAAAAGAGCTTCAGGATCCTATCCAACTACTTCCTGGTTGCTTTAGCACTCCACATTTATTCATCAATTTCCTCACATTAGCAGAGTCCTCCCAGTTCTCTGCACTGGCATAAATATTGGATAAAAGAACATAAACCATGGGGTTATTCTTTTCGGTCTCAAGCAGAAATCCGGCAGCAATTCTGCCTAGTCTAACATTGCCATAAGCAGCACATGAACTGAATAATGTCCACCAAACAGTGGAATCTACATCAACATGTCTATCTTTTACCAGTTTTTCAGCCTCATCAAGATACCCAGCCCGACCTAGAAGATCGACAATGCAAGAGAAGTGGTCTGCTGTAGGCTCTATACCGTATGTATGAATCATAGAGGTAAAAACTTCAATTCCCCTATCAATTAAGCCTGAATGGCTGCAAGCTGACAGAACTGCATTAAAGGTGGTGTTATCTGGTTTGACCCCACCTAATTCTTGCATCATCTCAAAGCAATGTACAGCTTCCTTGCCCTTCCCATGCTGTGCATAGGCAGTAATAATTGAATTCCAAGAAACTGTGTCTTTTTCTGTCATTTTCTGGAACACCTTTAGAGACCAGTGCAACATTCCACATTTTGCATACAATGTGATGAGAGCATTTCCTAAGGATATTTCTGAAAACAATCCAGATTTGAGAATGTAAGTGTGAATCTCCTTCCCTTGTTGTAGAGCTGAAATGCTGGCACAAACACTCAAAACGATGCTGAGAGTAAAAGGATTAGGCATTAAACCTTCACTAACAATCTCAGAGAAGAGGTGCAAGCACTCCATGGGTAGTCCATTTAGATGACAACCGGAAATCAATGTATTCCAAGAGATCAGGTTTCTGGGAAACATGTCATTAAAAACTTGACAAGCCTGCTTCATTTCACCATGCTTACAGAATGCAGAGAGCAGTGCATTAGATACTTCTATTTTCAAGATAAGTGCCTTCTTCAATGCAACACCGAAAATTATTTCAACAACTACTAGAGATTCTGAGCTTGCTAGTACGCTGCCCATTGTAAACTCATCTGGCTCTATTCCTTCCCTCTGCATCTGAAGGTATGTGAAAATTGCTGCTCTGTCCCAACTATTTTGGGCATAGCTCGTGATCATGGCATTCCACGACACAGTATCCTTCTCCTTTAGCCTTTCAAAAACTAAAGAGACTGCATTCAAGTCCCCACAACTGGCATACATTGTTATTGTTGCATTAGCAATGGATGTATAGTTTTCTAAACCTATTCTCGCAACTTGAGCATGCAGTTGAGAAGCAATCCTAATATGTGAACATGAACTCATTATGCTCACAAAAGTGAGCTCAGTGGGTCTCAAGGAAAACTTTTGCATATCCTTGAACATTATTAAGGCCTCTTCAGCTCTTTCCGTACTCACTAAACCAGTAATCATTGCATTATAAGTAACAGGATCAGGCACTTCATCCCCAGCTTCCTCAAATACTAAAAAAGCATCAAAACCATTCTTACAGTTAAAATACATCGTAACCAAAGCATTAAGCACTGAAGCTCTGGCCAAAAACCCGGTCTTAACTACCATTGAGTGCACTTGTCTTCCAAAATCCAATAGCTCCATATTACACAAACTTAAAACACTAGCAAAAGCATAATTATCATATCTAACACCCAAAAAATGCATTCTTTGAAAGAAATTCAAAGCAATCTCGTGACGCCCACTTTCAGCACACCCAGTAATCATTGCATTCCAAACCGCCAAATTCCTTCGCGGCATTTCATCAAACATCTGACAAGCATACTCAACTTCACCCAACTTGGTACTCGCAGACAACAACGTAGTCCAAGAATAAACATCTGGGTTTTCAATTTCACTAAAAACCCTTTTCACTGAACTCAAATCTTTTGACTTGGCGTAGAATGAAAGGAGGGAATTTGATACATGAGAGTATTCTTTAAGCCCTGCATTAATGGCGAAGGCGTGGAGCTGGTTGCCGAAGCTAGTGGGTGCGATGTTGGCGCAGGCGGTGAGGGTGGTCGAAAGGGTGTAATGGTCTGGTCTGAGATGATTGGAAGAGTGAATTTGGTTGAAGAGGTGAAGAGCATCCAAGAATAGGTGGGAACGAGTACGGTCTGAAAGAAGGCAATTGAGTCTGATGAGTTGTTTTGTGGAGCTTTCAGTCAAGGTTTTATTGTAACGGGTGAACTTCATTCTAAATGACTACATCTCAACTGTTCATCTTCATAGATTAACTGGTCGTCTCGTCAGTTTGATATTCTGCTCGTTCCTTTCCAATATTGCAGATAAAAGGAAGGCATAGTTTGAGCGGAAACAGATTTACTCCTTTGGCTTTCATCCGTTCTATAATGGCGCCGAGCCAAAGTCATGGTTTGAAATTCAGTGAGGACGGAGTTCTATTGCATCAACTATTATTCAGGAGTCGTTCTATACCACTATACAATGCAAGTTGGTAGAGAGTAGGGATGTGCATATTGGTAAATACCAAATTACCATATGGAAATTGAAAATTTTGGTATTTTTATTTTGGTTTGGTATGATATTTGGTTTAAGTTTTTAAAAAAATTTAGTATTAGGTATGGTATTTGGTATTTATAAAAATAATATCGAAATACGGAATATATAATAAATTATACGATACACATATTATTGATTATAATATACTAAGTTGCATAACCCTATGCATGTCGAGGCTGGCAGTAAAGCTCGTGTAATTCTTTAGGAAAATGGAGGAACAACATAGGCTGCATATTAACTTATTCTCTAGGATGTCAAGCATCTTAACTTAATACTTTATGGTTTTAGGGTGGTGTTTCTTCTCGTGTATTGAATTGCATCTATTGGATTAGTCTTTGTTATCTTCTCTAACTTCAGCAATTAGCTCTAAACAAGTAACAAGATACTTTCAATGACTAAATTTATTCTTTTATGTACTTTTTTTTCTCTCTGTCTATGGGTTGATATTTGTTGGTTTTGGGGAAAAAAAATTCAACTGTCATGTGAGCTTAGAATGTTTTTATTTTTATATTTGTGAGTACTTTAATTAAGACTATTACAGTCTATGGTTTTATGCACTAGTTAATATTGAAACCGAACAAATCGAAATTACCATACCGAATAAATAGAAACCGGAAAAAGAAAAGGCGAACCATACAGAATATAATTAGGTACGGTATTAGTATAGCATTTTAAGAAATCGAATACCGAAAAAAACGAATCGAAATATCTAAATATCATACCGTACCGTACCGTACCGACGGATGAGTATCCCTAGTAGATAGAATTTAGGCCGAAGAGCCCTGCATGTCTTGATTTAAGACTCTTTGATCATGTTTTTTTTTTATAACATAGTTGGGCTTAGTTAACAACTTATTAAAATGAATGGAAACTGAACTATAATTTCCAAAACTTGGCCATATTTTGTTTGTTTGGATAATTGTTATATGTTGTTTCATAATGTATCGTATTGTATTGTATTGCATTATATTGTACTATTTGATGAGTAGTATAATATTTGCATAGATTATATCTTTGTCGTCGTTTCATATTATCACGCATAACAATAAGAAAAATAAGCTTACAACATTACTAAGAAAAAGATACATAATAGAATTATTATATAAAAAAGTAAAGTAAAAGATAAAAATATAATTATTTAATAATAAGGAAGGGCAAGATGGAAGAAAAGAGCAAAGTAACGATGCATCCACACCAAATCTATCGTTATATAAAATGACACTTTTCGTCGTTACCTAACGACGGACTTAACGATATGATACAATAAATATAAGTAACAATCAAAATAAATAATGTATGTAAAGAAACAATACGATACAACACATTAGGTAACAACCATCCAAACAAGCTGTTAAAAGATAATTATCGATTCTAAATTAGCCGTCAAACTCATAGTGTTTTTAGTTAATGAGTTCGCAATTAATATTTATATTTATTTAATAAATTTTCTAATAAAATTACAGAGTCTAAGCAAAAAAATAAGCTTTGTTCGAACCCGTAACTTATTCTCTAGTTCCTCCCTTGTCCATCTCGATCTCGTCCCTCTTCTCTTCTCATCTGCCATTTTTTATCTAATTCAAACTCCGATCATCGCTGATCACTTCCAATAACCATGTCAAGGCATGGCGATCTCACATTACTAAGGTAGAATTATCTATTTATTTATTTACTAAATTACCGATGCCCGTGAACAACACAGGTCCAAGCTCATAATGGAATTTTGAAAATAATTTTATGATGGCGTGCTATATATGGATTCGAGCAGATTGTTAGATTGCCAATTTGGCTAGTGTTCGACATTGTTGGCGATTGGCGTACGTGCAGATTCCAACTGAATGATATAAGATTAAACCATAAGGATTTTGAAATTTATTTCCGATTGAATGAATCAACAGTTGAAAATTCTCGGTGAGCCATCGGTATCTTCAAATGAACTGGCTCGACCAAGAAGCCTCTGAATTCCATCAATCTATTTTATTTTATTTTTTGGCTATTGTTCTTGGACTTGAACTCCACTAGACCTTGAGCAGTTTTTACCTCAAGATACATATGTAGGCTTTTAACTCTTTCTTGGACAGCCATGCCTCGCTTCCATTACATACCTATTGATTGACCCACAAAAGTCATGCCCTCGGTAACACCTGTTGTTAATTGCCATGAAATTATCGGGACAGAGCTTGCTTACCTCTTCAAATCCAGAAAAGAAAGCAAAGATAATTCTTCTCCATTCTCATAATCTCAAGAATTTTCTAATAGGACACAGAAAGTACAATGGCAACGCGATTAATTTCATGAATAACACATAATTGGAAAAAATAGAAATGCGATCAAGAAATTTTCACACGATTGTAAAGCCCAAGATTCTAAACGTTGACACTTCCCTCTTTTGCTCCTACCTATATTTCTTTTCTCCTACTATTTGTTAATGAATTAATCAGAAACCAAATAAAGGTACATCTTATAAAGTAGTGGCAAATTACATAATTATATCTATCTATATAAATTCTGTTTTGTAAAAGAGTAACAGAAGAGATCAAAGGACATATCAGTGTTAGAAAATTAAAGTCGAAACTAGATAACTAATAGTCAACAGCTTTAGGTTCATAGAAATTTAAAGCAAATATAGTAATTATCAGAGCTTTTTAGATAGAGGTATAAAAAAAGGAAGGTAAGAGTTCAACCATCAGATGTCAACAGAGATTAATGAAAATGACATAGAATACTACCATCACATTCCAATGTCAGATAGTGTAGCTAAGGTTCTATGAAACAACCCAGATGATTACACTCAACCAACTGATTGTATTAACTCAATACGAATTGAAAATACAATGAGAAGTACAAAAGAAGATTAGAGATGAGAAAACAAAGCTAACACTCAACATTTTTTACATAAGAATACACCACGCCCTCTAATGTATTTATAACTAATTTTCTTCCATTATACTTTCATGCACCGAACACCTTCCTACGCTATAAATGGATCCCACACATAATTTTTCAAATTCCAACGCATATCCTCCACCGAATGACTCACTGAGTTAACAATATTTTACGTATTTCAATATAAATGAACTTTCTCAATCACTGCAAGATTTAGGTTCATCGCTTACTTTTCTTTGGTATTTCTTTCTTGTTACCAAATGATCATAAAAAACAAATACTGTCAGAGAAAAATGTTGAATAAGTCCGGAATAAGATAGGAATTAACTGTACAAGAAAGTTAAAATCTACTGCTGAACTTTGCAGCTACTGGACTGGAGAAAGACTAATATTAAGAAAAATTAAAGTAGAAGTTATTGAGATTCTAAGATTTAAATGTAAGGAGAAGAATCTAGAAGATAGAGAGAAGGAGAGATCAGTTGCAGAGAGCAAATGCTTCTTCATTTCTGTGTAATTGGACTAGACTCCATGTCTAACTAGACTTGAATCCATGTCTGATTATATTCTAGAGCCTGAATCTCTTGTTGCATAGCAACAACCAATTTTGGATCCTTAGTAGCTTCAGTGAAGGTTCTTGGTTCCACTTCAGCAGAGTAGGCTGCAAGGCACTTAGAATAGGTTGGTTGCAAGAAAAGGTAGTTGATGGAATTAGAGATAGAATAAGCACAAGAGGTCTACTTCTTTTGAGGCACCACATAATCACTCACCCTGTAACCCAAATAGGAGGCCTTGACACTCTGGTGGAGCGTCTAAGGGTGGATGTGTCTGTTGCTTCAGTGTTGCACACTAGTGGAGTGCTAGGAACTGGAGGCTGAGGAGAAGGACCAACAGATAAACTAGTGGGAGGATCACAGTGGAAACATCAGTGGTAGTAGAGGTCTCATAAGAGGAGATGTCAGGAACATTTAGGTCCTCAGATGCTGTACTGGTAGATTGCCGAACTGCAGTAGGTGTGGTAGGAGATACACGCAATGTGACCTTAAAAGGAAAGAACTTCTCTTTAAAAATGATATCCCTTATCACAAACACATGATGGTTATGCAGATGAAATAACTTGTGTCCCTTTTGGACTAGAGAATAGCCTAGAAGTACAACAGGGATTGCTCCTGGAGAAAACTTGTCCTGCTTCTTGAGATTTTCTACATAGAAAAGGTATGACCGTACAACAGGGATTGCTCCTGGAGAAAACTTGTCCTGCTTCTTGAGATTTTCTACATAGAAAAGGTATGACCGATAGCCTAGAAGGTCGACAATGCAAGAGAAGTTGGATAGTTAAAGGTTTGGAAGGTTGATAGGTATGACCGAGAGTTTACTTTGTGGGTATCGGATTCACCGAGAGTTTACTTTGTGGGTATTGGATTCAGATCGTGGTTCCTAGACTTGGTATAGGTCCATTATGTCATTTGGGACTTGAATGTAAAATTTGGGGTCATTCTGAGTTGATTTGATATGGTTCGGCGTGAGTTTTGGAAGTTGAAAGTTCATTAGGCTTGAATTGAGGTGCGATTTATAGTTTCGATGTTGTTTGGTGTGATTTGAGGCCTCAAGTAGGTCCGCATTATGTTTTGGATTGGTTGGTGTGATTGGACAGGGTCCGGGGGCCTCGGGTGCGATTCAGATGAGCTTTGGAGCATTTTCACTCATGCTTGGATTGCAGATTTTCTAGTGTTCTACTGTTCATCGGGATCGCGGATGAAGCATCGTGATCGCGGAGTGTTATTTGGGTGGCTAACCAATGCTCTACGCATTCGCGAAGAGGTTGTCACGTTCATGGAGCCTGGGGGAGTGTTCATCGCGTTCGCGTCCTTTGTACCGCAATCGCATAGAGGACGAGCTGAAAGGGGCGCTAGTGGTTGGCCTTCCCATTCGCGTGTTGGACGTCACGTTCGCGAAGGCCCGTTGAGGTGAAGGGTCGCGTTCGCGGGGCCCAGACCGCATTCGTGTAGAAGGTTTTGGCTAGA